TCATTATCACTCTGTTCTGATAAACTGAGCTGCCAAGTGGTGGAAGCATTTGTGGCAACTGAAATGCTACCGAGGCTCTTTGATTTACTCTTTTTTAATGGTATTTGAGATTTTTGAGTAACTCGACAGATTCTTTTCTTGCTGTGACCTCATTTTTTTTCCCACCCAGGGCTGTCTTTTTCTTTATGGTGTACCTGTGAATCACACAAACCTTTTTCAATTTGATACAGGCTGATTCAATGGGATCAGGGAAACTTCCATCTACTATAGAATTGTGCTAGTCCCAGAGGCAGAGTCTACCTCAGAGCTTGACTCTTGATTGACATGGCTTCCTTTTGGGATTTGTGTAAGACTGTCAGAGTTGAACAGTTTTGCTTAAGTAAATAAGTCTTACTTTGGGACAGTAATGGGATCTAGACTGTTGCTGTTTCTGGAAATCAGGTGGGAGCAAAATGATGTCTGTGAGGCACAAAAGAAGAAATAGGTAAGTTCATTAGCATTTGCAAATTCTAAGTAGAGATAAGTCACAGTTCAACAGAGCTTTTTAAAATCAGAATCCTCTTACCTACAAGAAATTATTATGCATGAACTTGCATTTTCTCAGGACAAAACCAAGTAAATGGAAAAAACACAAGTGAGCTGGCCAGGCCATTCACATGAATAATCATGGAAGCTCTATTTGACATTCCAGCGCAACTCAGCTCCTTGTTTGAGATATACCTCCTAAATTTGCCAAAGCAAATTTCAACATAAACCAAACTCAAAGGCTATCACTGCAATTTGTTTCATACTATACGGTCTTGGTTTTTGGATCTTCATTTTCCATAATTTTCTCTTTGGTCATTTTTGAGAATGTGTCTCCCTGTATCCCCAGATGGCCTGAAACAGGCTATGTACACCAGGGTGTTCTCAGTCTCACAGAGATCCATCTGCTTCTGCCTCTGAGGATTGAGGGTTGGGATTTAAAGAATGAACCACCACACCCACCCTTTTTGTAATTTTCTTTAATGAAGTATGACTTAATAAATCCAGATCACCTGTGACTTAGGATACATTTTTTAATGACATTAATATATGGTTTGTTTTACTTTTGATGATGAGTTTTTTCTTTAAATTTTTTATTATATCTAAAAACATGAAAACACTGTCTTATTCATTGTCTTGAAAATAAATAAAATTCTCTACCCTCAATTGTCTTACATTTTCTGGAGAGACAGAAAAATAAGCAAAAATCATTGTTTTGAGGTTTCCTGTTGCTGTTGTTAGATTTTAGATAGAGTCTCTCTAGGCACTCCAGCCTGGCTTCTAACTTCCTATATAGTCCAGACAGGTCTCAAACTCATGGACCTCCTTCTCTGCCTTGGAAAAGTAGAGATTACAAGCAAGGACCACCACACCCAAAACTAATTAATGTTTTAGGTGCACAACAGAGTCTAGAAAGTGAGGACAAATCTTTATTTTGTAGAAAACACAATATTTAAAATAAATTTTAAAATATGAGGAAGAACTTTTTCATGAGGGTAAAGCCAGATGTGCTGTAGTTTGGGGAGGTTTGCTCTGCATCTTCAATATTTTACTGAAATATTTAATAGTCAGTATTTACTGAAACAGCTTAGTATAATTAATAACTTCTTTCATTCCCTATGTCTACTATTGGAGTCACTGTTTACTCACTGTATTTTAAAGTTTATTCATCTGCTTTTAGGGATATGTTTTATCATTTTTCAGTATTGCTTGTTTGACTTTGGGATGTTTTTGATGATTGATCATTTTGTAATTTCACATTTTAATTTTTCAATATTTATATATAATAATGAAATATTTTCCCTGAAAATGTGAACATCTGTAGTTGAGAAGCTTAAATTGTCAGATTAGAAAGTTCTTACATGTGTTTGAGATGAGAAAAACTTGAAAGATTATCAATCATAATTATGGGAAATAATTATATGAATCAATCAGGAAAATATAAATCTTGTAGATAATATTTATAAAAATAATTAATTTATTCAAGATATTTTGCTTGTGAGCATACAGAAAATGATTTAAAAGACAAAGTACACATTTTTAAAAAACATTAAATAAAACTACATTATATTTTACAGTATTAATTTTTTCTGTGTATAAATTTAACAATAAATATCATGAAAACTATTATATTTGATTAATACTTCCTTCATGACAAATATTCCTTACCTGGTCTTGACCCTCAATTTTTTTTTTTTTTTTTTTTTTTTTTTTTTTTTTTTTTTTAAAAAAAAACTGATCGGATCTCCCTAGTCCCAGCCTGACTGGAAGTTACACCTGGATTAGGCTAGCCTCGATTCTCACAGAGACCCACCTGCCTCTGCCTTCCAAGGACTGGGATTAAAGGAGTTCCACCGTGTCCAGCAGATCCATACTTCTGAAAGCAAACATCTTCAAGTTAACACCTCTTCTAAATTTCTACAGCTTTAGTTGTGGAAAATTTAGTACTGTCTCAAGATAATAGGCTTAACTGGTTGTGATCATCTCTTGTTTATTGTTGTTTTTTTCCCCCTTATTTTTTATCCCATGAGTATTTGAGTGTTGCGGGTTCTGTTTCCAAATATTTCTCTCATAATTTTGTGATGTTTCCATTTTCCCATCAGCTCAGATATTAAATACAACTCATTTCATGTCTAGGATCCTTTCTTATTTTTCCCTTTTTTCCCAGACTCATACTTTTAAAGCCAGAACATTCCAATTGGTATATAATTGCTTCCAAAACAAAAGAGATCACACTAGCTGGCACTTCCTACAGGATAACTGGCACTGTGCTGGGTAGAGGAACATGACGATGTTGTAGAACTGTTTTATCTGACCTGCTGTGGATGACTTCAATGTCCATTTTTCTTAGACTTATGCTTTCATTGTGTCAATCTCTACCTGAAATCATTTTCATCCTTGAATATACATTCCATATCTACAGTTGCAGGTTCAGTTTAGCTTTTATTTTGCTTTCTTCCTTGTATAATAATTTGTTTCTTTAAAATATCTATTTAATTACTTATTTATTGCCTGGATTTAATACACCCGTGTCATTCAGTGCCAACAGAGGCCAGAAGAGGGCATTAAGTCCTCTGGAACTGAAGTTACAGCTGGCTGTCAGCTGCCATGTCGGTGCTGAGAACCAAACCTGGGTCCTCCATAAGAGCAATCAATACTTTTAACCTGTAAGCCATCTCTCCAACTCCATAACCTAAGTTCTTAACCTTTACTGAGCTTGAGGGTCTCAAAAACCCAAATAATATCTCTATTGTACATCTGCTGCTGGTGGTACTTAGTTGGTAAAAAAGAAAAATTATAAAGTATAATTCACAGCAATATTATCTATTCTGCCTTATTAACATTTAACTTGTTCAATCCACTGTTTCACCTGTCTGACTACTAGCAGGACAAATCTTTGAAAGATAATCATGTTATACTTTTTCCAGAAAAAGTTAAGAGTTAGAAAAAGACAAAAAATCCTTCTTTGGCTGATGTTTGATAGTAATATCAGAGAGGTGATATTTTGTTTTCTTACATACATTAAGTTACCAAAAGGTTTGACAAGAACTGTAAAAATGTGCCATGTTCCCTTCAAGTCTAATGTTATATGTTACCAAAGTTTACCATTAAGAGTCTTTTCTTTCAAACAGAAAGCTCATGCTAAAATAATGAAAAGAATAATTAACATTGTAAACAAACTCAAATTTTACTATAGGCGTAATCATGAGTTGGAATTACTATGTTAATTTTAAATGAACTTTCTAACATTTAAGTATTGTGTTTAGAGAAGTGTCTCAGATACATATGGGTATTCAGATATTTCTTATAATGTTAGTGCTTCCTTTTTATTTGTAATTGCTAAAGAAAAAATATTCCCCATTTCTCAACAATAGCTTGATAGACAAGATGGTAATTGATTCTTACTAGGTTGTATGTAAGAACAAGAAAGAAGGGCAGGAGAAGCATCATAGTTCGACTAGTAAACTGATCTATAAGAAAGTGAGAAGGGCTTGCTATGTAAACTCCCTTTAACAGCAAGCTCTTAGCTATTCCTGGGTTATTTCCTGCATCCAGGTGTTACATTGGTTTAATCATTTGGCCTGCAGTAGCCTTCAACAATTTCTCCCAATTGTTTCTCTCTGCTGTCAGAATTTTAATCAGTAAGAATTTTCTCACCTGTGTCTTCCTGTTGCTTCCTCCATCTTCACCTCAAAAAGATGACGTCCACAATGAGGTTTAAAAAAAATGGCATTTTTAGACCTTAATCTGTATCTCATTTATACAGTCTTTCACTTAAAAAAGTAGGTTCTCTTATGAAATCCATTGGGGGAGGGTGAGCTATGGGAGAAGATACAGATTGGGGAGGGGGTCTAAATATGATTAAGATGTGTTGTGTGAAATGAGCAAAAATTCAATAAAAAAGTAAGTTCTCTAGTATCATAACTAGTAGCGCTCTTTTCCATGGCAATTTTAATTTCAGAAGCCCATAAGTATTCTGAATATTTATAACTACAAATAAAATACCTCTAGTGTTTGTCAGACCATTTTGTGAAATTGCTTGATCAATATATCCTTAATGACACTTCATGGTCAGCAACGTCATCATTAGGCACCAAATGCCTAACTAAAGCTTTTATAGACATAAAGAAAAATTGAAGTGAACATGGTTTCTGCTCTAGAAACTGAAAGTTAGTGGGATATCGGCTCAGAGGCTTGGTCCCCATCACTCTTTTCTTACACATTCTCACATGCATCTTGGCACCATCTCTACTCGCTTGCAACTGTGAAATCCCAGTTGTCACTCTCTTCATGAATTGATTAGATCTGGTACTTGGCAGTCAGTGCTTGAGTGTTTTAAAGTTCACTACCGCATATCTTGGTGTATTTTAATTATACCCTGCATGGATAAAGAACTACTTCATTTTTCTAAGAAACAATACATTGTCTGACCTTTTGCTGGAAAAGAAAGAATGTGGAATAGAAAAAAAAATTAAAGGGGAGAGCATGAATGCAGTCCCCACTATCACAAATTATGCAGCTGAGTTTCCCCCATTTGGTGAAATCACAGGAGTCAACACATCCCAAGTGCAATGGATGGGCCTCACCCTCTTCCTCAGAGAACCACCTTCCTGATGGTGTCTACCCTGCCAGATAAGTAAAAGAAAACCATATTTTATGGTTTAAAGAAAATATTTTCCAAGGAAGAAACCAACCAGGGAAATGTCCTCTAAGTATAACTCATACAGGTATGCAGTTCATTTTTTAAGGTCCCAAGTTCTATTAGTGTTCATAACAAATGAAAATGGTCTGAGGTCCCCTATGTTTATCTTTGAGTCAAATCACACAGAACACCACAGAGGTGACCCTGAGCTGGGCTGTGGGTGAAGAATCTGAGCTTCCTGTTCCCCTTTTCTTCCGCTGTAATGAAATCTGCAGGATAGCATTCCTCATGCCTATAAGATAACCTTGCTTCCTTCCTAAGACCTTGGAAAGCATTGAAGACTCTGCCCAAGGGAATTTGGTTAAAAGCAGAAAGAAAACCTTGCTTTGTTTTCTTTTGCTTTCTGCTTTTTTGAGATTCCTTTGGTCATGTTTTGTTCCATCCTGTTCATTTTCTGCCTCTGCCTTCTCTTTGATGCCGTCCTACAGCTGCAGGGATGCAGTACAATGGGCTAAGTGGCCCTAAAATCCCTGTGGTCAATTGTGCCATTTTATTAATTCAACTCAGAAGAAGGAGAAAATAGTTCTAATCTCATCCCTATATAGACTTGGTGGTGCTAGTCTGTTTCAAACATTTAATGGTTAGAAAAGAGCACATTTTATAAATGCCCAAGTGTCAAAGAGCTCAAATAAGAGCCATTGGTTTGGGGAGATTTTGAGAAAATAACAGTTTTTGTCCCAGTCTTTCACGAGCAGTCCTGATTTTGCAGTGTTATTAGTGGGAGCAGCATTCCAAGAAATAGACTGACAGTGTCACAGCTTGAGGGCTTTAAAGGAAGTTTTCCAAATTATCACATTTTAACAAATGATGATATTTGTTAAAATAGATGATTGATATTTGTTAAAACAGATGATTGATTTAATATAATTCAGTGTCTCTGAAGTGAGTGATCTAAAGAGAATATGAAGTCAAATTCAAGGTCATTTTTTATTTGTGTCATTGAAAATGTTCATGAAAGTTGAAACTATCAGAAAAGTGGTTTTCTTCTCATCTGCCAAATGCTGAATATATATATACTATATATAATACACATGCAATATAAATATATATATACACACACAAACATACATACATACACACAAAAATGAATAGGTAGAGAGAATTAAGATAGAAATTTATTTGTGTGTGTATACATACATATTATTTTTAACAAAATCCAGCTCATATTATATACAATCTCTTTTATATGTACGTATGTATGTGTGGTTTATACATGTGTGTGCACCTGTGTGTGCAGGAACTCAGACTTGCTGTGCACATGTGAAGGCCAGAAGTTGACTTGACATCTGCTATCCTCGTCTGTCACTTTCCACACTATTTTTGCAGACAGTGGTTCTAAATGAACTGAATTTCCCTGTTTTGCTGCACTGGCGGATCAGTTAGCACTCAGGATCTCCTTGTCTGTGTGCCCCAGTGCTAGGGTTACAGGCATTTGCTGCCTTGCCCAGTTTTTACACGAATGCTGAGGATCTGAATTCATGTCCCCATGCCTGTGTAGCAAGCCCTTACCCTAATGAGTCATCTTTCTGGCCCCATGATATTTTTTACATTTTTTTTACATTTTTCAATTTTAATTTTATGAATTTCATATATTTGATCATATTATCTATATCCCTCCCAATCTGCATTCCTCCTTATGACCATGACCTGTTTTCATGTATGCACACACTATATATATATATATATATACACACACATACACATTTTTATTTTTGGAGACAAGATCTCTCTATAGCTTCAGATGGCCTGGATCTCACTATGTAGACCAGGCTGGCTTGAACTCCTATATATATATAACATATATAACATATATATGTAACATACATATATATATATATATATATATATATATATATATATGGCCTATTAATCCAAATTTGTGTCCCAAGTTCCCTTGGGTGTGGGTCCATTCACTGGAGCCTGGTTAACCTACACAGCATCACAGCTTTAAATAAAACTGACTCTCCCACACCCAGGAGCTATTGTTTGCCAATAGTTCTCAGCTTGGGTTGGGGTTTTGACTTACTTGCCCACTTCTATGTTGGGATTTTTGTCTGGCTTGTGCTAACTTGGAACTTGTGCATGCTGTCTCCATTGCTATGAGTTCATATGAATAACTGCCCAACTGTCTAGAAAACTTTCCTTGTGGCCTTTACCACCTCTAGATATTACAGTCTTTCTGTTCCCCCTATGGAATGATCCTTGAACCTTGGAAGGCAGAGGCTTGATACCAGTGTCCTATTCAGGGATAGGCATGCTGTAGGCTCTTATTCTCTGTACCTTGGTCAGTTGTGAGTCTCTGTGTTAATCTCTATTTTCTGTATGAGGAAGCTTTCTCGGTGTGAGTTGAGAGCTGTGCTAATCTAAGGGTATGAGAATAAGTCATTAGGAGTTGGCTTCATACTATGTTCATTTAACAGAATAATAATAGTAGCCCCCCCCCAGTGGCTTGCATCTTGTTAAGCCACAGGTTCCCAGGTCTGATAGCACTTTCAGGTATGGGTTAATCCTGTAAAATAGGCCCTAAATCTAATCAGAAATTGGTTGCCTAGTCCCCTAACATGTGTGCCAATCAGTGGACAGATCTTATAGACCAATTGTTGTATATTTCACAGGATTCATAGCTGGACAAGGCTGATTGTTAGTTTACCCTTCCAGTAGCATGTATAGCACCTTCCAGCACTATGAAAGCTAGCCAGTGGAGATGAAGCTTTGAGGTTAGTACCAGTTCAGTTTCTACTTGATCGTTCTACAATTCATGTATGTAGTGTCTTCAACAATAGGATCTTACCAGTCAAATTACTGTGGGTAACCAAGAGCAAGCAGCCCTATTATATTTTAATTTGATTTTTTATGTTATTCATTCTTCATTGCAAATCTTCACAACAAAGAGATTTAGTAGCCTTGGTGCTCTGGCAGCATCTTCCTCTAGAACCTTCCCTGGTCCAGTATCTATGAAAGTTTCTTCCTTGGTGTTCTAGTTGCCTTTTATTGCTGTGATGAAAACACTGAACAAAACCAACTTGAGAAGGAAAGGGTTTATTTGGCTTACAGTTAATAGTCCATCATCAAGGGAAGCCAAGGCAGGAACTTGAGACAGGAACCTGGAGCACAGACCATAGTGGTTTGCTGAACACTGGCTTGTTCCTCTGATCTCAGCTCAGCCTGCTTTCTTTAAACAGCATAGGACAGCCTGCCCAGGAGTGAGATCACCCACAGTGGGCTGGGCCCACCCACATCATTCAACAATCAAGAAAATGCCCCACAGACATGGATACAGGCCAATCCAATGGAGAAAATTTCTCAACTGAGTTCCCTCCACCCAATATGTAAAGTTGGCAGCTGAAGCTATCCAACACACTTGGTCAGCTGGGAAAAGACTATAACCAGGATTTACTGATGCCAGCATGCCAAAGCACTATGATTTTCTTTGTGGAAAGGACGACCCTTTATCTCAAACCTTGATCCCATGATCTTGGCACTCAAGGGTTTGCCAAGCATTGGCTGTGCTCATCCCAATGGCAAAAAAGGTTGTGGGATGTTTACTCATGGTATTAGTTGGGAAAGGATCATGGGCCCAGCATTCTGAATTCCATGTCTACAAATACTGTTGTGCTGAGAGAGGAACAGGATAAGGTGTTTTAAAAACTATTTGACCTGAGCAAAGTAGGCTATGGGCCATGGGTGGCAAACCTGCTGTTTTCCTCTGCATAGCGATTGCCAAGAGTTTTTGGATTTATCTGGAATTCTTTTAATATTAAAATCCATTCAGGGTAATAGCTGCAAAAATTCTGGCAATTATATTATTAACTAGATATAATCTAATGGGAAGTAGTACCAGATTCTTGGGGATAGTTATCATTATTTTGAAATTTTAATTGATTATCATTAACCTCTCTCTATATAAAACTGAGAGAAATGGAACTGTCCTATTGTAAGGAACTAGTAGTGTTCAGGACAGAGACTATGTTGACAGATGATGGAGCCCATTCATTTATTCACTCTACAAGTATTTATTGAGTCTTTACAATGTACCAGGCTCTTTACCAGTCTCCAAGGATCAAAGATGCTTTTATTGCCTCCTAAATCTCCTTGAAAGTTGACGCAGCAGGTATGCCTTATAATATATTAAAGTCAGTTGCTAGTGAAAGTAAGGGTGTTAGCTATAAAGGAAGGATTAGGTGAAATCTAGAAATAGCATTGCTGTAGTCTGCAAAAATCTACTGACATGAAATTCTCATTTAAGTACATGAATTTTGGGAATCTGGGGCATATATAAATAAAGAGCTCACCTGATACATTTCAAAACCTGCCTTCTGAACTATTTAATTAACAACCTGTGAAAAATATACTCTTGAGACCTAAGTGGATAATAGATGTCACCTTTGTTCTATAAAAAAATGCTTTGCTACCAGTAAACCTATTTTAAAATGAGCAGTCAGCATTTGCAACAAGCTGTCTCACGGAAAGTTCTACCTACCCTGGTTTGACACGAATAATGAAGAAGGTCAACATTTACCCTCACTGCTATGATGGGAAACTTTATTTATCATTGGATTTAAGGTATAGTACTGTCTCCTGAGATGAAGATTGACAGGGCAGATGGTCTTTATTGTTCCTGCAGGTCCCTTTAGTAAATGACATACTAATTCTTTAGTACTTTCATCTATCTACCTTCCCCATGCAATTAAAATTTGGTGACACATTTTTATGGTCACTAAACGGGCATAAATTAGCATTAATTAGGTGTATTGTAAGGTAATTCCCTAATCAAGAAGGTACATGCAGACGGGGGGAGCACAAAGACTACTCATAAAGTTCTCAAAATCACCTCTAACACTTCCCATAGCACAGAGTTTATGTTTTGTCTTCAAAAGTGAGGTTTGCAGGGGAAGGAAAAAGATTGGATTTTATTACTAACCTGTTTTTAAATACTCG